TGATAAGCACCTGAAGATGCTGATCTGATGATGAAGAACTGACATGATAAAATCAGCATGACGCATCCTCCAGCATCACCAGCAGTCATCATGATAATCATGTCCTCGCATCTGCTGCATCTCAAATCGGGTCTAACGGGACACTTGAAACGGACACTTGAAACGTATGTAAAAAAAGATAAGGACGATGACGAAGAAGATGATGATGATGAACACCAACTAAGATGATAATGATCATGACGCATCCTCAGCATCACCATGCAGTCATCATGATAATCATGTCCGCGCATCTTCTGCATCTCAAATCGGGTCTAACGGGACACTTGAAACGTATATAAAAAGAGATAAGGACGATGACGAAGAAGATGAACGATGATAAGCACCGTGATGATGCTGATGATGATGATGATGAACTGACATGATAATCATGATGACGCATCCTCCAGCAGTCATCATGATAATCATGTCCACGCATCTTCTGCATCTCAAATCGGGTCTAACGGGACACTTGAAACGTATATAAAAAAAGATGAAGGACGATGAACGAAGAAGATGATGATGATGAACACCAACTGACATGATAACATGATGACGCATCCTCAGCATCACCAGCAGTCATCATGATAATCATGTCCGCGCATCTTCTGCATCTCAAATCGGGTCTAACGGGACACTTGAAACGTATATAAAAAAAGATAAGGACGATGACGAAGAAGATGATGATGATAAGCACCGTGATGATGCTGGTGATGATGATGATGAGTTGACATGATAATCATCATGACGCATCCTCAGCATCACCAGCAATCATCGTGATAATCATGTCCACACATCTTCTGCATCTCAAATCGGGTCTAACGGGACACTTGAAACGTATATAAAAAAGATAAGGACGATGACGAAGAAGCTGATGATGGTGAGCACCGTGATGATGATTCTGATGATGATGATGATGATGAACTGACATGATAATCATCATGAGGCATCCTCAGCATCACCAGCAGTCATCATGATAATCATGTCCGCGCATCTTCTGCATCTCGAATCGGGTCTAGCGGGACACTTGAAACGTATATTAAAAAATGATAAGGACGATGACGAAGCGCTGATGATGATGAGCACCGTGATGATGATGATGATGATGAACTGACATGATAATCAGCATGACGCATCCTCAGCATCACCAGCAGTCATCATGATAATCAAGATAGGGACAGCGGCGACGACCACCACGCCGATGATGATGATGATGATGATGATGATGTTGAATCCTCGGTTATGCTCATTTACCAGCCAGCCTTGGACTTGTAACCGCCCTTCCCGTACGCCTCCCCCTTTGAGGAGAAGGGGTCGGCGGATTATCCCTTCCCTGCTGCCTCTGGGATTTATTAGTTGGCAGCTGTTACATGGCTTTCTGGAGGTTACGAAGGGACCAGAAGAAAGGGATGGTGGATCTCTTGTCCTTCCACTTCCCACGGTTACACCGTCTATCTTGGAAGGACTTGACCACAGATCCACTTCATCCACTCTCTATATCCTGTTTACTCGCGAACAGAGGGAGCGGTGAGTGAGTCTGTGAGCCATTCCTTTCCTCTCGCCTCCGCTCCATCCAATCCATTCCCTCTAACTCCCTTTCACCTCTGTATCTAGGATGTGATTAAGAGGTGAGAGGGATAATGGTGTGTGGGAAGTAATAAAGATGTGACCAAAGGGAACGGTTAACCCACACACATCCCGGTCGTTAACTCCCTTAAACCCCAGCCTCTTTCATCTGCTGGGCCACATATCTATTTCCTGTTTCTCTTTCTCTTGGTTACGTCCTGGCGGTGAGATTCCTTGAGAGCCAGGACATGAGAAAGATAAATAAAAGATAATGAAAGACGCGGCAGAAAGGGAATTAGTTAAAGCCGCGATGTCCCTTCTGTAGCCACCAAATAACCTCCAATAAAGACAAACAGGATAATGAATCAGGTGGCTACATCATATTATTTCCTTATCTTTCCATTTCTCTTTTATTTTCAAGTATTAATATTGGTTGAGGACGTTTCCTTCCGTCGCTTCTATCGTTTATCCTCATCCATAATAACCGACGGGAAAGGTCCTGAACTAACCTACAAACACAATCCAAAATACCATAATAAAAGCAAATTAAAATAATAAAGATAAAGAAAGATGCAAACCTAAGGACTGTTAACGCCTGGTCTGGATAAGACTCGTCTTTTCAATAGTCTTACCGCTGCAGCTGGGACTAGATTTCATGGTCACTTTCCTTACACCTCCAAGCCTCTATTCTATGGCTTGGTGAGGTGAAGGGATATGAGGTGACCAATAGAAATCAGATGGGCGTCCAGTTTCACCTATCTGCCACCAAAGGGAAGCCATTTCGGGGCTTTCAGGGAGACCTGCGATCTCCTTTTGAACGAGTCACATGAGGTTCACTGAAAATGGACACTGAAATCGGACCTGGGACTTGGTTTTTTGGAGAAAAGACTTGCTTCCCGCTAGAGAGATTTTGCCCGAAAACGAGGGCCTCCTGTGAACAAACGTGTGTTGTTTGGTTTTGCTTTTAACGCACCATGGGGCGTGCTCGGAGATGCTGAAGGGACCCCCAAAGATGCTTTGCGTCAAGGGGTGGGCGAGTTTGCAATTCTTTTCTGAACATAGTTGTTGGAGCTCGTTTTGCAAAATGTGTTCACCAGGGAATGAACGAATTACCCCGAAACATCCCAAAACCAAAACGTTGATCCCTACCTTGTGGCTGAAGGAGGAGCCTCCAGTCATCAGCCCAAGCGGACTGCTTCAAGAAGCGGGCAGCTGCCAAGTGCGACAAGTTGCAGCCATGTTCTTGAGGTGATTCTGTTTCTAGGTTCCTCAGTAGTGCCCTTTTACCCCCTTGTTTGGGGGAGGATTCCTCAACTAAAATAGACTACCGAAAAACTTTGGTACCCTTAAGCGGCGTCCAACTTCAGAAGCATAGGTGGCCTTTTGGAAAAATAGATGGCCCTGGTAAATGGAACAAAACCCATCTAAACCAGACGCCTGTGTTCGGAAGCCCGAGGAAGTTCCGGGTGGAGCCTTCAGACTCTGTGGAGACCTTGCAGGTCCTGGGTAACGCCAAGCTGCCGGTGGGTCAGTGTATCAAGTCTCTGCTCCTGAATGCCCGGGCCTGAGACGTGTTCGCGTTCAAGGTTGCGGGCCAAAGCCAAACCCAAGGGCAGGAAGAATAAGCGCTTCTATCTTCTATCTTTTTGGTTTAGTCGGAGACAGGTTTGCGGCAAAACCAGGCAGGACACGCTTTGTGCCAAAATAGGATTTCCTTTTTGAACCGCCACAGAGTTCCCTCAAGAAAGCACAGGTTGGTTTCATGGTTCAGCTCCCGTGTCCCCTCCTTCAGTCCTTAGCGAAGGGAGCGCGGGTGTGCCGTTCTTTTTTGAGAGTGAAAGGAAACCTAAAGGAAGACTATCCACTTTATTGGCGTTGAGGCAGTCCCGCCGTCAAATAGACGGGGCTAGAATTTGCGCCGCTTAGATGAAGCAAGATTGAACCACACCTGGATTCACTGGATGTATTGTCGTCCCAATCGTTTGCCAGTGAACGTAATTCGTTTTTCTAGAATGTACCCTGGCCCTTGAGCATCATTGAGTCAATATATTTTCTGGAATTCTCCAGCAGGAAATCAAACGCTTCCCCGCCCAACGAACATCGAGTTCTTGGAGAGCCCAAGGCAACCCTTCGTCAGGTATGCTAGTTTGTGGGTGCCGGCACCCCTTTGGGGAATACCTTGGATCAAGTAGAAAGTGGACTCATGACTCCAGCACTTTTTATGACTCTACCAACTTTGGGTCGATTGTCTTCCGGACAAGTTAGTCTGAAAGGCAGCGCTAAACTTTTTCCAGAACTGTTTTGCGGACAAACCCAGTTCTAAGAGAACCTGTCCTCAATTTGTTTGAGCTGGACCCAATGTTTTACTTGCTGGTGCTCAGCAGGGAATGACACATGGAACGACCCTCTATAAACCATCCCCTATGGTTTCCTTGAAGCAAATCCCAGGTTCATTCTTTCATTCCTTAGAACCATCCTGTATGGTTCCTTTAAGGGAATCCCCAGGTTCATGCTTTCATTCCTTGCCTATCGCACCAGCAAGCTAACAGGAGCCCCAGACAAAAAACTGAGCCTCCAGATCGCCGCCGACCAAGACATTCAATTGGAATCCTTACATGGGTTCATGTCGATCCAGCCCGGGAAAATCGGGACCCTACTCTAAACCAGGACCAATCCGACCACAAAAAACATAGCATTTATCTAAAAAGCAAAATCAAGGAAACCCAGCCAAATATAACCCCCCAGCTGGTTGAGGGCAAACAGTTTGCGGCTGGTCGGTGCTTGTGAATCCGTGGGCAAAACCTGAGTGGATTGGACAATCATGTCTCAGCTGAGTGGTTTGCCACCGTGAATGGTTTCTCGAAAAGCTTTACTGGTCCAGAAGGGTATGGGTCAAACATAAACCACCAGGGACCGCAGGGTTTAGTCCATTTTTCCATCCAGGCTTTCATTTTGGGCCTTTTTTGACCATTTTTTGGGCTTCCATTTTTCCATTTGCATTTTTTGACCCACACCCAGAACTCAGGGAACGAGTTCACAAGAAAACCGACACTCCGCTAGGGCCGTCCATGGCAGGACCAAGAAGTCAGCGGGCCCTTGGAGGCGCTGAAGCTGGAGGAGGAGCCGGTCTTCTTGGCGGTGGTGGCTGAGAACGAGCCGGAGACCTACTTTGTGCCTCGACCTCCAAGAAGGAAAGTCGAAACCAATGAAAAAACGCGCCGGGCGCCGCCCATCTTAATCTATTAAATATGGCCGTGGGCTTTTCAACACCAACGGAGGTGCACCACAAACTTTTAGAACCTATTGTAGTGTACCTTGGCTCCAAAGCTTTCTCAAGGAAGCTCACCCAGGACATTTACCTTGTTGGATTCGTAAGGATTCCCCAATTCTTTTTTCGGCGCAAGCGCCGCCGGATTGTTCGCCGCTCGGAGTTTCTTACTAAAGGGGCGCGGCCCAAATCCTCGGGTTTTTGTCTCTTTGCCTTCCTTAAGGCCAGGTAAACCACCCGGTGCTCAGATCAGAGATCCAGTTCTCAGTTGGGCCATTCCCTCGGTACTGAGAACCAGCAAATTTGCGCGTCCCTTTGCGCAGCAAAGGATTTCCGCTCCTGGAATTGGACCGGTTTTTGCTAGGCAAGTCGTTTGCAAACGTGCAGGTGACCATTCTCACAGTTCAACGTCAGAGTTGGCTCCTCATAACCCGTGTCAGACTGAGCAGTATTGCTCAACGCGATTTATTCTTCCCCTGTTAGTTTCAAATGAATTCCAAATGGTATGGGTCACCAACAAACCACCAGGGGACCTTGGTTCCATTTACCAGGTTCCAGTTTGGGGTACCTATGTTTGACGCACTGCCGATCAGCTTTGAAACAAATCCCAGATCATTTGGCAGCAGCCCAGGTAGATACTATCAATTTTTCGGTTTGGGATGACCTTCCCAAACCAATTGGGGTGACTTGAGCACCCGCGACAAAGCGACCTTTCTTGGTTGGATTTGGTATCTTGGGTTGGGGGAATGATTGGGGTGATTCAGGTTGTGTTTTTGGCAGGTGTCAGGCTGGAATTGGGACTAACTTCAAAAGGACGTGTACCCTGGCCGTTTCGGAAAAAGGTCCCCCTTCTGACGTCGAAAACTTGCGCCGCCAGAGCTGATCCGAAGTCCGATCCGCGAGGTCCACGACAACGGGGGCCGTCCCTTCAAGGTGAAGGTCCTGCGCAGCAGCGATGCGTCGCCGGGCAAGGTCTGGGTGTATCCCATGATTGAGGGCTCGCAAGCGGACATCCAGTTCGAGATGGGGAGCGAACACAGCGAGGCGGGAACGACTCCATCAGATCCTTCCAATCTTGATCAACAAAAATAAGTTGTTTCTTTTGGTTTCGGTCGAGCTCTCATTTACTCAGGGCGCCCTCTAAGCACAAATCCTTTAACTTTCATATGTTGCCATACCTTTAAAATACGCGGACCTTTGCGTAGAGGGCGGAAGTTCCCTTTTTTTTCCCCAGGAAGACCAAGGCGATGGCCAAGAGGAGGCCGAGGAGGCCTCTGAGGCCGAGGAGGCAGCGGAACCCGAGGACGCAACAGCGGCGGAGGCCGCGCCGGCCGCGGCCGCGCAGGGGGCCCCGGCGCCTGCGGGTGGTGAGGGAGGCGGCCAGCCTGCGGAGGAAAGCAGTGAGGACTGAAAGTGGCGTGAAAGACGAGTGAGTGAGATGTGGCCATGGGTCAAAAGCCAAATCGTACCGTGAACATCCCAATCCCCCACTGGAATAGACTAACAATGGGGAACAAATAAGACCACCGGGATGTGGACCGCAGGTGTTAGTCGTTGGTTCCATTTACCAGGGCAAGCCATTTTGGCTACCCATTTTTGACCCACAGCCATGTCTCCATCTTCATGAAAACCACTAGGTGGGGCTCCTATTCAAAGCCTCCAGGTGTTTTGCGACCAGTTGATGACTTCAGTTCCAAAGTAATTAGGCCGTTTGGCCAACATCGGCAGCCTTTGCTGCTTCATTTGTTCCGGCCGCGGCTCGTGGCCAATCGCGAGAAGAGGAGGAGCCGCCCATCAAGTATGAGGACAAAACCGTGCTGGAAGAGGCGGTGGAGAGGATTTTCGTGGGCACCAGCCCGGAGCACGGCAAGGCGAGCATTGCCTGTCCCTGCAAATTAGCATCCGGAGCCCGAAAGAAAGAATGCTCAGCACATTGATATTTGTGAGTCACAAGGCCCCAAAGGCCCTTTGCTCTTTGTAACCAAGTCACGACAAAATGAGCAGGGGCAGCGCTGCTCAATTGCGAACGCCTGCGCCTCACGGAAGATGAGCAATCCGGCTGGGCATCCATGCGGAACCCCTTGAAATTGGGCGACTCTGGCGCTTTCCTTTTGGCTTCCCTTTACAAAAAAGATCACCCGGCCACATTGATCAGAGAGAGATCTCCCCTTAAGCGCTGACATGGGGTTGTCCCTATTTGGCAGTCCATTGTCAGCTTGGAGAGAACTGAGCCCACGAAGATGTCCCATTCTTGTTAGGCGCCAGGTCACCTGAACTCCGCACAAGAAACTGGTCCACCCAACTTGTCCTTTGCGCTGGGACCAATTTTTCAACGCCCTTCATGTAGATAATCCCAGCACGTGCAACTTGGTGGCACGAGCTGCGGTAGGTTTGGGGAGCAAACGTGAGGCCGGAATGCCACAAACAAATGGCCCGAAATAGCCCAAAAGTGTATGGACCACCATTTCGGGTCACAAAGCCATCGGTGCATCGTTCTTGCGGGTAATTTTTGTTGGTTGGCTAAAAGGTAAAATGACCCAATTGGACCACACATGTTGGGCGTCCCCCTATTTTGAGACAAAGTCGACATATTGTTTGTTGCTTCATGTTCTCATTGCAGGAACAGGTGAGGAGGGAGAGTCAGGGACCCTTGATTTCCCTTTCACCCTCGCTAAAGGTACCCTCAGAAAAGCAACACCCTCAGTTTGGATATTTGTAAGGATAACATCCTACAGCAGACAGCCATCAACTTTGTAGGGAGTGCAGGATTTGGGTCATAATTAGCTCTATCACTCCTTTTTGGTCAGTTTGGTCAAGAACAGAGCCCATCCAGAGGTTTTGGCTTGGGTTGATTGAACCACTAATTCACGGATTTCACTGTTGTCGGTTCTGTTATGAATGTGTACCAGTGCCATAAATGTATCCAGCGAACAGGGCTCTGAGAGCTCCAAATTCCAATGCTCGTCGCTCGAAGTGCTTGGTCAGGGGTTCAACGGAAACTCGCTGCTGCTGAAGAAGTCGAAGAACCAGTACCTCAGTTGTTCGGTGGCATCCTTTTTCCCTTTCTTTTTAGTGGCTGCCCCACCAAAAATGGTCTTCCCCGAAAAGGGTCCCCTTTTTTTCCCAGGGTCACTGAACAACTGAGGTACATCTTCGTGGGGGACAGCATCTTCTCGTTCGAGTCCGAGGCCGAGATCTGCAAGTTCTCCTCGCCGGTGGGGAACAATGACGTGCCCTACCCCTGGGCCGCGGACGTGGATGGCCGGTGCTACCTGGTGATCGAGAACACGGTCCTGAGCGCAGTTCCCGAGGGTGATCCATACGACGCTTTTCTGCCGGCCTTGCGCGCAGCTGGAAACCCCAGCGCTTGTCATGCCTGGCCTTTTGTCTGTTTTTTTTTGCTCGGCTTGGCTGTGCGTGCTTTTGAGGCTATGCTCAGCTTGGCTAACTTACAGCCATTGTTAGGGTCCCGCTTTTTTTGACGCATACGGACCGATGATTGCTTCTGCAGCTGACCAAACCACACTGGTAGAAAGTGGGTTTCGCATCTCGGCTCGGCTAAGCTGGTTTAGCAGCAGGGTAGGGCTAACAGGTCCGCTTCTCATGTTTGCGGTAGAGCGATTATACCGTAAAACGGTAAAACTGTTTGACCCGTTTGCCGTTTTACGCGGTAAAACCCTAAAATGGTAATTGAAAAAAGAGAGAGGACGACTGCCAACCCTTCGAGGGAAGTGAAGGTCAGGGACTTCTGGCTCTGTCCGGCGGCCCTTACGGGCCCATCCTCCCTTCACTCGCGTCCATCCTTCTCGTTAGTCAGTAAATAGTTCGCGACAGGCCGGGTGTTCTAGAGTAGAAGTGACTACCAGATGATGTGAATGGTCCAAATGGCTACGGCGCGTGACGACGTGTTACTTGGAGGCCAGGCGCGCCCGCAATGTTGCCAGGTTCCTGCGCCTTTTTGGCTTTGCCTTTGGCTTTGCCCTGCGCGTGTGCGCCAGAGTCATGCGAAGTGCCCGTCTGAGCTAGTAGGATGTATCCTGTAGTTGTGATCCCCAATTGGTGTACGTGACTTCGGTTGCATGGGGTGTGCCATACGAAGTCCACTTCTGACTGTTTCGGAGTGGTTAGCCCTGTAACGGGCCTGTTGTAGCCGCTTGACAAAGCGCTGCCTCGCGATGGAAGCGTGGGTAGAAAATGGGATTTTGGTTTCCGTGCATTTCCACCTTTGTGCCAGTTGGGGCTTTGACGCGGACAAGTGGTCATGGAGTTTAGTCCCCAAATGCCCATCAAATCAAAATCCAGCAGTCAGGAATACTTCTACGGGGACGACTTCGAAAAGCGCGTTGATTGGAAGCTGCTGTGGAACAACCAGCCCACGGGCGCCCCGTTTGATGCCGCGGAACAGTACCAGCGCATGATGGGCTCAAAGGGCAAAAAGGAGCCGCAGGGGTTGGGAGCAGGGAGGGCGAGGTACGGATGCCCCTGGCATATGGGTGGTTCTTCTTTTTTACCCCCAAAAAGAGGCTGGCTTCCTTTTGGTTTCCCTTCAAAACCAACCAAAAGGGGCCCTCAAAAAAAGACTCACCCATTCGCAGGTGAGGGAACAAGGAAACCCTGTAGTTTACTGCAATGTTTTCATGCTTGTCTGCTTGAGTATGCTTGTTTTACGTGCAATTTTGTTGGGCAGCGTAGGTCTTCATGGAGTCCCCTTCGATCTGCAAAGGCGGCTGGAATCATCCTCTTTTCGTTTGTGTGCCACTGCCACAAGAGCCCAACTAGTTCGCGTTGGGTTGCGGGCACTTTCAACTTTCTAGTTCCGCACATAAATCTTGTCCAGGTCCCCCAGTAGTGCCCTTGTACCCCTTTTTTTGGGGAGGGTTCCCCTACTAAAGTAGACTACAGAAAAAGTTGGTACCCTTATTCTAGCCTTTCTACTGGAGGACCTAGTTGTAAGTGGCTACAGATGGGCGTTTCGGCTAGCGAAGGCTGATTATAGCTTGGGCTATGTGTTGCTTCGGGGTAAGTAGGACCCGAGCTCTGCAAGATGGAATTTCTGGAAGAGCGTCTCCGCTTGTGCGCGTCGGGCCACTGGGCGCGCGACTTGGTGGCGTCACGTAGGAGGGTTTCCAGTGCCCGAACCTGGGAAGGAAAACCCGGTCATTTACAAAAACCGGTGTGGTGTCCGTTCGAACCATTCAAGGGCCTAGGTGGAAAAGACTTGTTTTCGCAGTTGGCACTGGAAACTCTGCCGTGGGGTTGTTCTCTGCCCAATTCCCCGAGCTTGTTGGCTTCCTTGTGGCGATGTGTGGCAAGACTCAGCCTTTCGAGCGACGTGGCTTTCATTGCTCCTTTGTTTTTGGCCAAGAGTCTACGAATTCCAGGGATTCTCTCAGAAACAGCGGAGGCAAGTTACTACTTTGGGCTAGAGATACAAAGGAACTTGGCTCAAAAGGATAAGCCCTTAAACCAATTGAGCTGCGCTAAAAGCCCATGTGTTCATTTTTAGTAAAAAAGGCCTTGCATGACACATCATGAAACAGGCCCGGGTAAGCTAAACACGCCCGTGGCAAGCGAGCGTAAGCATGTCGTGTCGAGTATCCTTGCTGAAAAGAATCAACTTTTGAGGTGGAGCGTGCTCGAAACGGAATGCTTTGTATCACAGCCTGGCCATGATGGAGGTACACAAAGCGTACTTCGCGAACAGCTGCGATTTGCGAGCTGGAGCTTCCAAAGTGCACTTCGTGTACTACTCACGTATTGAATCGCACTTCGCTGCAAACATATTGCTAAAGCACGGCTTGCGCAAGCCTCACGAAAACTGCGACTAAACGCTTTTGCGCGTAAGTTGATTGTGTGCGCGCGTGCAAGCGTTGGCCTCAGCAACTTGTTCTCGCGGAGGAATCTATTGTATTTTTAGCGTGACTCAATTGGTTTTCCTTTTTGTTTCCCTTCAAACCCGCCCCCCCCAAAATGCTTGCGCGTTCCCACCAGACGCTCGTAATGTGGAACCAGGAGGCAGGCTTTGCTGTGCGCCGGGCCGACGGGACTGTGGAAAAGGTCGAGAGCGAGGCGGCCTTTGCGATCTGGCCCAGTTCGGCAATGGTTTTGGGAAGTTTGAAGTTTTGCGAATGTTTTTGGGTTTCGTTCCAGGTTTTGGCCCTTTCTTTTTTGTCTCATCCAAACAGTACTCCTTGTTTTGCTTTTTGGCTGGTTGGGTCTTGCGATTCTTTCTTGTTTGTTTGTGTACTTCTGGGTCTTTTCCTTCTAACAGCAACAGCTATGGGGTCGTAGTGGCTTACCTTGTGGGTTGTGGAGGGGAGGTTCCGGAATTGTTCCAGATTCCAGAGGTTCCGGGAACAGCTGGAGAAGAGTTGGTTTATTTGCCTGTGTTTGTTGTCTTCGTGTTGAAAACTTGTTCCCCAGATGGCTGAACGCTATGTAGGGCTTCCAACTCCAAGGAGGTGTGCGCGTGCGTGTTGCTAGTGCGTTGCAACATTCTTGAAGAGGTAGGGTGGTAACAGCGCGTGCTGTTGGAGAGTGCTGTTCTACGAGACATTTTGAACAGTCGTAAATCAGAGTGCTACGTACCGTTGCAGAGTTTGGCTGCGAGTTGCCGTTTGGTGCTATCGGAATGTGCAAAACAAAGGGCTCGTGAGGATGTGTCTGGAAAGTGTTTTGTTGAGAGGCTGCTATCCAAGTAGCGTTCTCTAGAAGTGTGATTTAAGTATGGAGGGGTATTTGTTTTTTTTTCGCTTTTGGCTTCTTGGCTTCTTGGCTTTTTGGCTTCTTGGCTTTTTGGCTTCTTGGCTTCTTGGCTTTTCGGCTTTTCGGCTTCTTGGCTTCTCGGCTTCTGGGCTTCTGGGCTTCTGGGCTTATCGGCTTTTTTTGTTTATTCGGCTTTTGGTGGCTTTTTGGCTTTTCGCATCCTCTGCATTCCCAGTTCCTCTTCGGCAGGTGGCGTTTTGGCTTTTGTGGCTTTTCGCTGGTTTATGCGGCGTTTGGCGGCTTTTTGCGGCTCTGGCTTTTTGCATCCTTCCCCCCTAACCCCGCGCTACTCTTTAGTGTAGTTTTTTTCTTAGAGGGATCATCATTTCTTTGACCCCGTCACACGATTTGTTGGTGATGCTAGGGATGTTGGTCGGACATGCGGGGGATGTCATTTTACTGGCCCGGCAGAGATTGAATTGCACCTCTGTTTGAATCATCAAAATGCTGCACAATACGACATTTTAGGTAATCTGTGTAATCCATGTATGTCTGTATGTATGCATTTCTTCGAACATCATAGGGGAAGCCACCCCCGCCAACCCTCCCGCTGCCTTTTAAATTCTATCGCACCCTTTCTTGGATCATTGCACCCCTGCTTGAATCATCACTTCTTCCGACATCATGGGGCCAACCCCCCCAGCTCTGTAAAAAAAAGAAAAATAGTTTTTTTTTTAAACTGGGATTGAACTGCCCTCCTGTTTGAAGCATTATTTTTGTTGACCCCGTCAACCCGCCAGCTACTTTTTGGATTTTGTTACCCACGATTTGTTGGTGATGCTAGGGATGTTGGTCGGACATGCGGGGGATGTTGAAAACGATGCTGGGGATGTTGACGGGCTAGTGTAATTTCGCGAGAACATGCTGTAAAATACGACACTGGCCCGGACGAAAAACGAAAAAACACAAAATCAAGAAAAAATAGAAAAACCCCCAACATAAATCCGCGCCCTTTAAGTATATAACGTTCTCTAGGTGGGTTGCAGTGGGTGCTGTTGCAAGGTGCATTGTCAGGGTGAAAGACTTGTTTAACTCAAAACGGCGCATGGAGCTTGTGACCGAGAATTTCGGGTGTCGCAAGATGCTGTTGCACAGGCTGGAGGTTGCCGTTGCACAAGGTTCTGTCCGAAGGTTCTATTGGGTGTGTGAGGGTGCTGCCAAGTTTCGCAGGGCGCTGGTGGTAGGTAGGTTTCTGGACTTCCTTTGTATGGCTGTGGGTCAGAAATAGGTACCCAAAATGAACCTCATTAAGTCAAACCATAGACTAAACACTGCGGTCTCCTGGCTTTTTTTAACCCGTACAGACCCATATGCTTCTGAATTTGAAAGCCCCATACTCTAAGATAGATGCCTGTGCCCATGTTACCACTATGTCCATTTGCGTCTGTCTGTGTCTATTTTTTCTGTGTGTGTGTGTGTGTCTGTGTTTCTGTGTGTCTGTGTGTCTGTGTGCGTGCGTACGTGTGTGTGTGTGTGTGTGTGTGGTGTGTGTGTGTGTGTGTGGGTGCGTGCGTGCGTGCGTGCGTGTGCGTGTGCGTGTGCGTGTGCATGCGTGCGTTTGCGTTCATGCGTGCGTGCGCGCGTGCGCGGGCGCGGGCGCGTGCGCGGGCGCGGGCGCGCGTGCGCGTGCGCGTGCGTGCGTGCGTGCGTGCGTGCGTGCGTGCGTGCGTGCGTGTGTGTGTGCGTGTGTGTGTGTGTGTGTGTGTGTGTGTGTGTGTGTGTGTGTGTGTGTGTGTGTGTGTGTGTGTGTGTGTGTGTGTGCGTGTGTGTCTCCGTGTGTGTGTGTGTGTCGGTGTGTGCGTGTGTGTGTGTGTATGTGTGTGTGTGTTATTGTGTGTGTGTTATTGTGTGTGTGTTATTGTGTGTGTGTGTGTGTGTGTTATTGTGTGTGTGTGTGTGTTATTGTGTGTGTTATTGTGTGTGTGTTATTGTGTGTGTGCGCTTGAGTTCGTGAGTATGTGTGTGTTGTTTGTTTGTGTGTTTGTTTGTTGGTTTGTTTGTTTGTTTGTTTGTTTGTTTGGTTTGTTTTTTTGTTTGTTTGTTTGTTTGTTGTTGGTTTGTTTGTTTGTTGGTTGGTTGGTTGGGTTGTTTGTTTGTTTGTTTGTTTGTTTGTTTGTCCGCTTGCTTGTTTGTTTGTTTGTTTGTTTGTTTGTTTGTTTGTTTGTTTGTGTGTGTTTGTTGGTGTGCGGGTGTTTGTTTGTGTGTTTGCTGGTGTGTTGTTTGTTTGTTTGTGTGTGTGTGTGTGAGGGTACCCTTTTCGGCACAGGACAACCCCGTCTTGGGGACCCCCAATTGGTTGTTTTCTTTTCAGTTTGTTCCATGGGTCGGGCTGAATTTTGAGGTTGAGTTGGCAAAGAAGATGAACACCGCCCTGGGGGTTGGACCTTTGAGAGGGGTCAAGGAGTTGGTGGCAAGGCTGTAATTCGCCTAGACCAGTCGGGCAGAATGAATCGACTGTGCGGCCAGTGCCTATGAGGGCATGTCACGCTATGCCTTGTGGTTGACGTCTTTTGGTTCTGGTCCATCGGGCAAAAATCCGGGGATGTCATGGAGACATTTGGGTGCGTCTTTTTTTTTTAATCATGCCCAGAGACTCGAGACATCGGTTAAAAAGAAGCTGACATGGACGGCTGAGCAGCGGCATGTGGTCAAAGTATCCAGTGGAAATCCATCGAGTTTCTATTTTTATGTTTTGTTTTTTATTCGAAGGCTCGGGATTTGAACCCCTGGCTTGAGTGAATGGGGTGCCAACCGCCTTCGGGACAGCTCCATCGCGTTCCATTGGAGGGAAGCTGATCAGATCAATCAACCGTTTGACATAGGGGCTAAGCGAACCTTTCAGCTCCACCTTACAAACACATGTCCAAGCCAATTTTGTTTTTTTCGGGAACCGCCCCCCCCCCCCCCATTTAGCCTCCCCAACTAAAGCGGGGGTTGTGTTAGAGGCACACCTCACCAAGTAAACCACCCCGGACACATCTTACTTACCTAGCGGCTCATGGCGCTGATCAATGTGCGGTTCATCTCTGGGGAGAGCCTGGGGTCGCTCGGCTCGATTTGGCACAATTTGTTGAACACCGAACCCGGCTTGATAGAAACGCGTCCTCTCACTTTCTGAGCTTTTGTTTTGTGAGGGTGGTCCTTTCTTTTTGGGGGGGGGTTTTAGAGCGAGTTGTCCGAAAGGAAAGCCAGAGGTTCCCTAAGAAAGACACACCCGTATGGCCCTCTTGGAGATCATAAGGGCGCCCCTGTTTTTTTTTAGCAGCCAGTGAGGAAGTTCCGTCTGGAGCCTTCCGACTCTGTGGAGACCTTGAGGGCTCTGGGGGAGTCTAAGCTGGCGCTGGACCAGTGCATCCAGTCTTTGCTCCTGAAGGCCTGGTTTGTTTTTTGCGGGTCTTTGCTGGTTTCGGTCTTTCTTCGATGTGCCGGAGAAATGTTTCGCCATTCTTGTTCGAATAGGACGCCTAAGGCCTATCGCTTTCGGAAAGGAATCTGCATGGGGATGGATTGGTTTGCTTCATTGCGGGCGAAAGGACTCATGACTCCCCCCAAAGACCTGGTTGGTCTTTTTTGCTGCAGCCATGGCGATATCGAAGGAGTCCACCACGTGAGAAGTTCTGCCAGAGAATCATGGTCTATGTGTGGGTCAAACTGGAGACCCTTTTATGGCTGGTATTGGCTGGTATCTTTTTTTTCCAGATGCCCAGGGCGATCCTGACTTTGAGCCTTTGAGCCCCCTGGCCTGTTGGTGACCCTCGCTAACCCTGGCCCTAAAGGTTGTGCTTTCATGTGGTGTGAAGATTCTGTTGCACGTGAGTATATATGGCTTCAAGTCTTTAGGTTTGACCCGCTCCAAAGACCAAAAGTCGGGGCTTTCTTCCAACTGCGCCATACGGTCGATCGGTATGTTACGAACACCGCGTGTTTTGACCAGGGTCCGGAAATTGCTGGAGCATTTGAGGGTCTAATTTCTTGCTTCACACAATTTCTTGACACACCGACGGACCGTATGTTTTTTTTTTGGCACGGCAAGGATCTTCCGGATGGATGGTTTGCTCTTGGTTCCCCCGAAACCGTCCTAGGAGGGGCCCTGAGTCTGACACACACACACACAGCCACATGCTAACATGTGAAATGGGAAGAGCACTTGGGTTTGCTTAGATTGCAAGGGTCCACCAGAAGCTTTAGACCTCCACTTTCCATGGAGCTTCTCCATGGATAAGCCTTCTTTGACTGCTTTTCCAACAACTTTTCGAGGCGAAGCCAGCCCGAAACTCAGGCTGAAGAAAGGGAACCGACAGGACACCTTAGGCCGAGCTTTTCGAGTCGAGCCGGCGGATTTTTTGCGAGTCCCACAAGTGAAGCACTTTTTGGCCGAGGGTCAACAGCAACTTTGGCGCATTTGCTTGGATGCTAGGACTCTAGCTTCTTGCCAACTAATGGGTTTTTCATTAAACCCACTAGAAGTTATTCACTTTCAGCAGGGGGGCAGATTTCGCAACCGAGGCAACCAAGTCAAAGCGTTGCCACCGGAACCCTCCGAGCCCTCTCCTCAGGAGGAAGTGGTCACCGGTCGCCTGGAGGCGCTGAATCTGGAGGAGGAGCCGGTCTTTGTGGCTGTGTTGGGGGAGCGACGGCCCGAGACTTACCTGGCCACTTTGCACAAATCTTTGCCAGAAACCATCTCTCGCTTCCTGAGTTGGACTTCATAGCGGCAAAACAGAGTTTGAGTGGTACCCTCCCACCAGCGATTCCATGGAAGTGCACAGACCCCTCTAGAAAGACGACTTTCCTCTTGGAAAGGGCCTTTGTGCACTTCCATGTTAGTTGGTGGGATGGTAGCAGAAAGTTTGGGTACGCTTTCTGACCAATCCACTCGGGAAGTGAGGTCTCCCTGGGGTGGGGAAACCAGGAGATTGTTTTCGGTTGAAACAACCACCCACCTCCCAACCCAAACCAGTAAGGAACGAATGCTCCTGCCCGGCCCAGTTTTGTTTGTCCTGCTTCGGCTTCCCGAGGTGCACGACAATGGGGGTCGGCCCTTCAAGGTGAAGGTCCTGCGAAAGGGCGAGGCAGCACCTGGCAAAGTCTGGGTGTACCTGGGCTACCATTTGTGTACCATCCTAAAATGGCCACAGATATTTATGAATGAGTTGGAACCACCTCAGAAGTGGTTGGACATGTTGGAAATAAAACAAAAAGCAACATGCCCATCACTTGGCAAAGAGAGTTTGCTGAATTCGCAGTGTGTCAACATCAACATCCAAGATAGCTGGTTTGCTTTTGGTGTACTTGTGAAACTGCCTTAAACAGGGTACCCGGTCTTGACATACCTAGCACGGAAGCGGGTGGAAACTCGGAAAGCCAATCCTACCAGAAATGATGCAGCGAGCACTGAGGTACATGTTAAAATCCAGCGAGGAGGAGCGAAGAGAACGCCAGCGAGTTTGGCTTTGATTGGGGTGGCCTGCTGCTATTTGCGGAAGGGGTTCGTTAGGAAAGTGTACGGGACGGCAATGCGGGGCTGATACGAACCCAATGAGAAATCTACGGTGTTGTCACCACTGGATGATACCGTGATACCCTGAGTTGTACTTGCTTGTGTCCTTATCGACCAGCCTGTAGGTGCTAGATGGTTGCGGCAGAATTTTCAAGACACCAGCCAGTGTGTAATTAAGTGTAGCGGTGTAGTAGCTGCTTCTTTCTTCAGGCCCGGTATTTTACGCAAAAACCATGCAACATCATGCAAACTCGTGCAAAACAAGCTGTTCCGCATGCCATGTAAATCATGCAACATCCATGCAACAATCCATGCAACCATCCACGCAAAAATCCATGCACAAATCCATGCAACATCATGCACAAACCATGCAAAATCATGCAACATCGTGCAAAATCATGCAAAACACAAGGTTCAGCAACATCGAAGTGAATCAAGCCAGGTTGGTGTCCTTTTGGCTAAGCAGAAAGGGTGGGATCCGTTGGTAGGAGCTGAAGTATGAGGACTCCCCCATCTTGGAGGAAACGGTGGAGAGGATTTTCGTGGGCACCAGCCCGAAGCATGGGAAGGCTGAAGCCTGAGCGACAGGAAAACGGTTGCTTCACGTTTGTCACAAACTCACCTCGAAGCACAAAAAAGGCAACTTCTTACTTCTTACCAGTTCTTTTCCAAATTTTCAAGAAAATAAAAAGAACATACAAAACCTCATTGTTAGTCATGAGTCATGAGCACAAAAGGTGGAAGATGTGTTTCCGGCAGCTGGTTGCCCTGGGGAACTGAGAAGAAGCGTTTGGTCGACCCGGCGCTGACTGGTGACTGTGCCCCGATCCGCGTTAAGCGACTCACTTTGAGAGCCAGCGGTTCCAGACGTGTCAAGCCTTGTTTGCCTTTCTGTGCACTGCCGAACTGTTAGTGTTGACCAGGATTAATAAACCCGTCCCATTATTAGGGAGTGTTCCCTCCGGGGTTAACATTACTTGGCAGTTGAAAGGCATTCTAGAATCCTTGGGTTACGCAAGGAGTCCCCCTTCTGGGATTTCGCTTTTGGGCCTTTTGGGTCACCAGCCGGCTCTGTTTTGGCCATCCAAAGCGCGAGGATTGCCTTAGCTTCCCCGTTTGCCCTGAAAGCAAGCCCAGTTTCGGCCTTTAACGAAAAATCCGGGTGCTTGGGTTCTGAATGGGCGTGCTGAATTCTAATTGCGTCAACTTGCGTCCGAAAAAGTGAGCCACGGGAAACTCGGGGGAGTTTCCTGGCGCATCAGCTGTGTGAATCGAGGCTTCGAAACGCTGCGACAGGTGTTCGATGGAAACTCCCTGCTCCTCAAGAAGTCGAAGAACCAGTACATCTTTGTGGGGGGCAACATTTTCTCCTTTGAGTCTGAGGCAGAGATATCCCGCTACTCTTCCCCAGTAGGCAACAGCGATGTGCCCTACCCCTTTGCGGTGGATACTGAGGGCAGAAACTACCTGCTGATAAACAACGTTGTTCTGAACACAGTGCCAGAAGGCAAGGATCCGTACGAGCACTTCTACTTCAGCGTCAGGTGCCAAAAGATACTTGGCTGCCCAAGGCGAAACGACCTGTTGAGCTTCCTGTTTTGACCAGTTCTGGTCCGTTCCTAGCGGCTTCTTGTCCGTTCTTAGCCGCTTCTGTTCCGTTCCTAGCGGCTTGAACATCCTGAGCTTGCTGTGTCTAACTCTTTGATCTTGGCCCCCTCTGACCTTTCCTGTTTTCATAGGATCAAAGATCAGCCTTGCTTCCCCCAAGGTTTTTGGTGGATTCCACCCGTTATATCTGTGTTTTGCTGGCTGGCTTCTCTACCAAACCCACTGCAGGGTTCCCTTTTTCTAGAAGGCCCCTACAGGCCCACAGAAACCATTCAATCGAGCCCATGTAGTGTAACCCAGTGTTCTACCATGGTTGGGTCAGTTTTCGGCTAAGGATCGACTGGCAGCTGCAGTGGAAGGATCGTGCCATGAGTTTCCCCACAGATGCTGCGGAGACGTACCATCGCTTCAGCACCATTGAGGCCAGCCCAGGGTAGCCTAGGTCCACCCCCCAGTAGGGCCCTTTTACCCTTTTTTGGGGAGGGTTCCCCAAAATAGACTACAGAAAAAGGGTACCCTTATTCTAACCTCTCTACTGGAGGACCTAGTCGCAAATCATGGGTGCTTCTGTTGACGGACCCCTTTCTTGTCAATTGGGACATGCTGCACGGCTTCGTGATGTGCCCTCAGGTTGCTCACGGGTGCCTGGTCAGCTTTCCATCAGTTCTGAGAACAGGCTTCAGCTTTCAGAAAGGGATGTGGGGGGTTGACAAGAAGGTCCCTTAGGACCCTTGGTTGGTTTCACCACGAGAAAACGATGAAATACTTCAACCGCCATGGGGAATTCGGAAACGAAGTTTTCCCAGCCCGGTCCATGGGGAAAGTGACCCATGGCCAAAACTGGCCGAAGGAACATTGATCCACCCACCCACCGATCCAATGAGCCAGGCAAGGTGTTCAGGCGGACACCTCCCGTCCGAGCACCTGGTCCTTGGGACACCCAAAAAAAGGAGATGGTGGTGAAAACCGGGTGCCACTTTTTGGCTCCCCCCCCCTTGTTTTCTTTCTCTGGCACCGAGAGATCAGGTCTCTGCCCGAACACAGATGAATTCTGGCTAAGAACCGCGTACCCGACAAAGTCAGCTCCATCGAGGCTTCTGACCGAGCCGCGCGAGCGTTATCAGCGTAAAAGGCTAAAGCATCGTCACCACTTTTCGGTTGACGATCGCGCCTGTGATCCTGAATCAGGATCCGCAGCAGAGCTTTATTCAGAGCTGGTGGGTACTCCTTGGCCGCCGAGGTTCGCCACTTCCCATGCTCATCCTTCCCGAGAGTCTGTTTCGCCCTCCGCAAGCGCCACGGTATCTGCTCAGACTCCAGGATGTGGGAGAAGCCCTGCCCGTGGACAATCATGAAGTGCGTAGGCTTTGACGACATGCCACCGTACGAATGCTGTTTGATGAGGACTTTGGCCACTCGAGGTGCTGCCACCAGTATCACAACTTGCCACAGACGCCATATCGATGGCAAGTACGATTCGCTTGGGTTCGGCTGGGTGTTCCAGCACGCCGACTGCTCCAACTCTCCACGCGATGAACATAAAGCTCAAAGCGACTTGCAGAAACCTGTTGGCGGTGCGGACCTGTCTATGTTGCCTGAGACTGACAGCACCGCGCTCGGAACCAGGTCTCACATGGCGGCGCCACCATCACATCCGCGATCCGACCTTCCCATAGATGTTGAGACCAGCAAGCCTGAATTGCCGGGTCCAGTAGATCCCAATCTGATCCATAAACGACATCCAGAGTGATCGCCTTGTAGGTTAGCCCTTGGTCGTTGCTGGCGCTGAGGTGCTCTGCCCAGTCTGTGAACCGGGCTCCTCCTGGCATCCTGCAGGGCCCTGGTACGTCATCAGAATCGCTCGGACTTGCACCAAGTGCATCGTCCTGGTAGCGGGGCGTCCGAATCGGGAATGCGCCCCCTTCGTGGTTGCTCTGGAGCACTAGCAGCTCCAAACACAAGATCCGAGAGGTCCAGGACAATCCCATCAGCCCGAGCCGCCTCTTCCCGAAGAGCTCGATCAGGAAGTAGGGGTGCTGGATGTTGAACCCAAGGCATCCTGTAAGGACGATCTCGAAGTCGGACCTCTCCTCGCCTTCCTGAACCTCGGCGTCCGAGAGAGGGTGCATGTTGGCCTGCAACCAGCTGAAACAGGAGTCCTCATGATACGTCAAATGTTGCCGAAGCCGATTCCGATCATGGTAGTCCCTAAGGCAAGCTAAGCACAGCCCTCCATCATACATCAAACGCCGCATCCCCGGGAACCGTCCATGCCGCCGGCAAAGATGGAGACGTAGTTGCCATCTTGAAGGAAAATGCTTAGGGCAGTCCAGGCAAGACCAGACAAGTGGCTGGTGCTCAGCTGCCTTTTTGGGCAAAGCCAAAAGACCCGCCGTCAGTTCTTCCGTATACTCTCCATCCCACTCCCTGAGGTGCTCGGTAGCTTGAAACCAAGTATGCTTCTCCACAGCTCTGCTGATTCTGCTCTTCCATTTGTGGCTGCTGCCAGTTGCAACGACCTCAACCACCGCAAGTCATCACGGAGGGCCTCAAACCAGCTGGTGCTCGAATGGCTGTCTTCACTCACCAACAGGTCCTGCAACTGGGTCGGTGCAGTGGTATACAGTCTGCGAAAGTATCTCAAACGTGCTGCCTTGATCAAAGTTGCAACATCTGGTACCATCAGGGTCCTGAGAACAACCAAGTCACTCACGTGGGAGGTTGAACCAGCTGAAGCCCGGAAATACCACGGTAACACTTCATCGTGAAAGCGCTCAACTTCCTCAGGAGAGCTGGAGCCAGGGCAGGCCATGTTTCACAATTATACAGCAGCTTGGAATCTGAAGAGCTGAATACGTGTGGTGACAGGCACCGGTTGATTACCAAACAGCTTCTTAGCCACACTTCTCCATGCCGATGCCGCTTGTCAAAGTCTATGCCGCACCTCAGTCTCCATGGAAGACGTGCAAAAGGATCTGCTCTTCACGAAGGTGAAGCTGATTCATCTTCTCAATGTGCAGGTCGCGCCTCCATCGAGCTGCCCGTGTCCCCGCAAACCTGAGAAGAACCTCTGTTTTGCCTTGCTTGTAGTTGACCTGCCACCCGTGCTCCTTCATGCGGTTATGGATGAGGGACATGGTGAGGGTCACCTTGTCCACCAGACTGTCAGCATCCGTACTGGGGACAAGAACTGCCAAGTCATCCACCCAAACCACCGGCGGTATATGCTGGAAGCCAGGCGAGTGAAGGATATTCTTGCGATCCTGATTCAAGCGCCGAAGGACCTTGGCCATAACCGTGGTGAAGGCTATGTCAGCCGCAGGAGTTCCTGGTCTGACTGGTCTGGTGCCTTTTCGGCTGCGAACCACTTTCCTGTCCTCTCGTTGCCCTTTGCGTTGCACAAATAACCACGAGTTGAAGGGCACTGGGCGGCATTCTGAATATCCTTCCTCAGCCCAAACTGATCCAGCGCTGACTGCCTCCCGAGTTCAGAAAGGGGAACAGCATCCCAATCATCCTCTGTCATCTGATCTAGTGGATCACCGCAAAAGGACATCCTACTCGTAGTGTAGAACGCTTGTGCCAGGTCCACGAAGATCACCGCAAAGGAAATCTTTCTAGCCACCGCTAGGCTCATTTGAGCCCTAAGAGCCTGGGAGGCATAGTCAATGCCCATCACGGGAAGACCTCCAAGTTGAAGCGGTGAGAGATGCGGTCTGATGCCCAACATGATCTTTTCTCGCAGGATCGCCTGACAACATCCTGTGACAACTGAGGTCACACATATACTGCGGTAGTTGCCAATGTGGTCGAGGGGGCCAGCGCCCTTGTACAAAGGCATCACCCTGCCCCCTTTGGTGGCCATCGTGTCAGCCATAAGATGGCTGCGAATTTCCGCGGCTCCGCCTTGGCGAGTTTCGGGGGGATGCCGATGAGGTCGTAGGCCTGCGCACTGCTTTATCAAGCTCAAAGGTGGTAGGCATAGACATGGCGTCCGACGGAAGACTCGCAACCATGAGTTGAGCCCAGTCGTTGCCATCCTGAACGAGGTCGCCATGTTCTCCAGCTCGATTTTTTCTCCATCCTCAATGGCAGCAAAATGTGCGCGACTTTTTTTCTGCGACTCTGGCAAAGGTAGCCGGAGAGCCTTGCACAGATTTACGCAGCCCCGGAACGACCTTACGCACTGCCGCCCACATCCTCTTGGGGTCAACATGACCAAGGTCATCGGATTGCCGTTCGGCATTCTATGAAGTTCGGCCAAACGATCCCTGTCCAGTGCTGACCTCAACCTGGAGGCTAAGGTAACGGCCGCTCTCCGACTGTGGCAGGTGGCCACCCATCGTTGGCGCTCAACGCTTTCCGCACGCCCATCTCACCAAGCCAGAAAAGAATCTCAAGATGCCACGATAGTACACTCAAGACTGTTGACCCAGAAGATTCCAAGCTTCATTGGACGGCCAAACCGGTTGGGCTTTCTTTCTGGACTTGGAAAATAGAGGGCCCTGGTTTACCTGGTGGTTCAAGCACCTACCAGGCCCATTTGTTTTCTCATAAAAAGGACACCTATGGTTGAAGGGGCTGGGAGCTCCAGGCCGAGGCCTGCTTCTCTGTGCGGAAGGGCGACTCGGTGGAGGAGATCCAGACAGAGGCGCGCTTTGCGGAGGTGGTCCAGCAGCGCCGCGGCCACCGGGGCCACCGGGGGCCGGGGCGGCGCGCGCTTTTTTTTTTTCGGGCTGCGGCGGTTTCACCTTGGGTTTGACACCATGGTGGGTGCTCCTATCTTGACGCAGGCCGAAAGGGATGATAGATTTCAGGGTGGACTAAAACATGAGAATCAGAAAAGTACTTTTGTAGAGAAGCAAGGGATATCAATGGAAATACTCTCGGAAACGACTACTGTGCTTCGAGTAATCCCCACATGCAAAAGTTGCTTGACCAATTTGGACTGCAAGCACTCAGGCACCAAAAGGTCAATCCGACTGCGTGCGGTTCCTCAAGCATGCTGCTGGCTGGTGCGATCGCGAAGAAACCCAGTCAAACCAAAATGCAAGCAATGCAGAACTGACCCTAACCTAACCAAAAACAGGTGGGAATTCGGCACTTAGATTCTTCGAGGGGCCAGTCAAGCTCTTGCGAGGGGACATCATTTGCAGCCCCAAGATCCAACGACATGGGTCGGTTGTCCGGCGCAGCTCAGTTGTTGTCCAGGCCAGCCGGCCTGTCACAGCTGTTCTGGTCTAGGCACTGGCAGGAGCCTCAAGCTTCGGACTGTCGCAGCCGGCCATTGGCGGGAGCCTCAAGCTTCGGACTGTCGCAGCTGTCCTGGCCACTGGCGGGAGCCTCAGGCTTCAGGCTTCTTGGTGGGGATTCGCTGGATGCCTTAGCGGGCTTTTCTTGAAGGCTCGAAGGGTCAAACAGACAAACGATTTTATTCGTCGTGAGTATTGGCCAGGGAGCTGTGGTAACCGACCAAGCTTGGCTCCAAATTGTTTTCGCTTGCGCCCAAAGCATGGAAGGCATCAAGGTTCAATCTTGATGGGGCCTAGTAGGCCCCAGGCTTCCTTGGAGGGGTTTTGGTCTTTGTTGGAAGGTTTTGGGCTTCAACGCCGGCCCTTGGTGAGATTTCATTTTTCCACACAAAGGGGTTGTTGTCTAGTGGAAACAAGGGAGTTGTGTCCACGGCTCACAGGCAGGTTCTTCTTAGGCTCCTCCCACAAGAAATCGGAGACGTGGTCCTTTGGCCAGCCAAGGTGGGCCCGCGAACTGGGCGTGGCCTTTCTGAAGGAGAAAGCGGAATTGGTGGAGGGGGTTTGCTGAACTCGAAGGGGCACAGCGCGCCGGCGGCCCAAAAAGGTGGGTTGCTGGTACGTTTCAAGAGCTTGTTCCAGGACAAATTCTCCTGCGCGCACAAATGTGCCAGACCTCAAAATGAGGAATGGAGCCAACAAATCGGACCAGCAACCCCCAGTGCGAGCCCAGAGCGCGATTGGGTGGCGGCCGCCTCCTGCGGCTCGCTGGGCTTGGCATCCAGACACGAAACCAAATCGCCATTCCTGCCGCGTTACAGTACTCAGGCAACGAAAGCTTTGGGGAGCTCACCTCCAAGCGTATTTGCTTCTAAATATGTACATAGAATGAGCGGTTTCCTTTTAGCTTCCCTTGGGACAACCTCAGGATGCGGCGAGTTCTGCCGTTGGATGCTGTTGTGTCGCAGGATGCAAGTTTGACTGGCTTCCGAAGTTTGACAAACCTACCGCATATATGTTTCTCTCTCTCTCTCTCTCTCTCTCTCTCTCTCGACATATATATATATATATATGTACATAATACATCCGGTGCGATCTGCACGATGAGTGCAGGGGGCATCGGAATACATACAGATATATATGTATATATATAAATATGTACATATATCGTGTCAGCATATTAAGTGCGTCAATCCAATGGACCCAAGATCTGGCTGTTGTTTTCAATCCTTTTCTGGCGTCCGAGAAAGTGTACGTCAACCACGTAGGACCTGCCTCATGGGGAACTGCCCCTTTTAAAGCGCCTCGTACCCACCAGCCAAACCAAGGTGCAGTGCTTGAGGTTAGACGGATGCTACCTTGGGCCCGGGGAGCTCGAAATTCACAGCCAAGCTCTGTGAGACTTTGCCCCAGGCTCTCGGCTTATATTGGCTCCAGCGAAACGCCGCCCACGGTCCGCGCCTGTAAGCTGCATCAAGGCATCAAGGCTGGGCTGTCAGATTGGGAAGCCCAGTCCTTTTTTTCAACAAGGTTCCAAGTGCTTAACCATTTACTTTAGTTGGGCAAGTGAGCCGAAGCCTGCTTAGAGGGGAGGCGGTGTTTGAACGAAGAATTGGGAGCCCTCCGATTTGTTTGTGTTTGCCGCAAAGGGCAACGAAGATGAATCCACCATCAAACAAGCGTTTTCCTTCAAGAACACTTGGGTGTCGAAATTTGTGGGTGGAGTTCATGGGAAGAGGATGAAGTCAACTTGGAGCGATTGTTGACTTGAGCAATGTTCAGGGGATCCTATATACGGGTTCTTTCAAAAAAAACACGCGTTCCATCACATTCCAGAGCAATCAACAGCATTCTGCCATGTGTTGCTATGGAGCTGGTGACTTGGGGCCCTTCGGTTTTCGGAAAAGTGAAGGACTGGGGTTCCAACGCAAAGGGTTTTTTTTGCAAGCTGCTTTCCTCCTAAGCTCGATTTCTGACCTCTTGGGGTTTCTTTGAGATTTTGCAAGGGGTCTCTTTGGGTGAAGAAGCCCTAAGACCTTCTCAAGCTACGTCTGCCAGGCCATGGCTCTCCTGCGTCAGGCCGTGCGCTCTGTGTCCCAGGTGAGTCCGACAGCGAAGTGTTCGGACCCTCGCTCCTGGACGTTCGCCGCTTTCCGGGATCGCCGGTTGTTCTGGTGAACGCCTGGTTCGTTGGCCGCCAAATCAAATCGGCGAGGGGCGGTTTGGGGCAGCTGTTCGGGACCAGAGGGTTCCAGGTTGGGGGCTTGGGGAGAATTTTGCCTTTTTTCAAGGCCAGCCCCCCCCTCAGGTTTGCAGCAGAAGCTTGGGTTCCTGAAGCCGGAGGGGGGGAAGTGCACGGCAACCATTGGCATTGGGCTCTGTCGGATCAACGCCGTGCCTTTCTTCGTCTAGTTGAACGGCATTCTGGCCTCCTTTGTTCACCATGGGCAGTTTCTATTTCCCATGTGAGGGGTGTGTCGCACACATCTTCCCGACACAAAAAAGGGTCCGGACCTGCGCGAGCTGCTCAAATTCCGCCAGGTCTCCGCCCTGCGTGCGGCGCCAGGCCTAGATCCCGAGATCCCTAGATCCGAACCCTTGGGCCCGCGGTCTTGGGCAAGCGGTCTTGGGTGTTTTTTTGATATTCATGCCCTCAAAGTCGACAGGGTTTTAGAAAACCGGGAAAATGTATTGAGACAAGTTTCTGAAACAAAGCAGATTCGCGGTGAAGTTGAGAGGGACTTGCACGCACTCCCTGAATTTCACACCAATCAAGTGGACAAGAAAACCAGCCATTCTCATGGTTTCATGTGAGCCAAGGGTATGAAATTGGAGTGGGCCTATTGCATTGTGCAGGTATCGGTTTTGGGTAGGCGGTTTTCTTGTCGAAATAAAGTCGCGGGTGACCATTCACATGGCTTCCCCCTGACATACCCTGCCGCCAGGTGCGGCTGTCCTGTGCCGTGCCCCGGGAGCGATGGACGTGAAGGCACTCTTGATCTTGCCGCCGTGGTCTACACATCCTGCGACTTGGGGTTGGAAGCGATGGATAAGGAGCTTGGCCATTGTAAGGATTGCTATGAAAGGAAACATGACCAGACCTACAATTCAGTGTTTCACAAGTATATGGGCAAATTATGGTGACCTCGCAATTTGGGGTTGCGACAGAAAACTACGATGAAGGCAGCTTTGTCGGGTGTCCCTTGTTCAGATTCAGATTGGTGAATGTAGCTATGCTACATTCATACACGCATTGACGCCATGGGAAAAGCTTGAGATAGCACGAGTTGTGTCAGCAATAATGTTGACCCCATATTAATCAACCCCTGTTTTGTTCAGTTTATCAATAGGGGGGTGTCTCTGGGATTAGTGAGGAATCATCTCTTTTGGAGAGGAACATCCCCCTATGAATAAATTGGGGTTGATGAATATGGTGGCGGCGTCTTGGCGGTGTCCCCTTGGCGCAAAACAGTTGCGTCCCAGCGGTGTTTTGGCGTCGTCCCGCTGCCTTTTGCTTGGCCGTGTCTCAGTGTTCGGGCTGGTGATGTACGTCCTTTTTGGTGGTGAGCGAGTAGTGTTGGTGGCTCTGCGGTGCCCAGTCTCGATGATGCTTTGGTCATGGGAATCTCGGTGGTTCGGGGTTCAGGTGCCCGAGTGACCAGGGATTCGTCAGTGATCAACTTGCGCGATGTTTGACGGTGGCCTGCAGGTTTCTTGGTTTCTCTTATCTTGATTAAGCATGGGCCCTCACTGATCCTTGCTGCTGTGCGAGCAAGTGATAACGTTCTTCGAATCGGCCCAACATTTTCCCAAGTTGAAAGGGGCCAGGTCCTCTTGGTATGGAAAATTGGATGGGAGCACGATTCCAGGACAAATCCCTTCACGGTCAGCCAGGGAAGCGAAAGAAGCGCTAGGACAGAAAGGGAGCGGCCCATTTCTCGCCACATAGTTTCATAGTGTCGTTAGGCCTTTATAGATCCTTATAGTCTACTCACTTCTCCAAACCAACGTGCAGAGTTTTTTGAGTGATCTTTACGAAAACAACCGGACCTGCGGGCGCGCGATTTGTCTCACCCCAGCTGTGATTCGTTTGCTAGGCAACTTTGAGCCCAATGCTCCCGACCATGGGCCTAGGCGCGTTGCACCGATGTGAGGCAAATCGGATTGTAGCTCGCTTTGGACGGAACCAGGGTCTTTATTTGAATTCACATGAGCTGTTGTCATGTTGATGTATACATCTTAGACTTTTGACCAAGCAAGCGGGGTGAGCAGCTGTGATTCCAAACAAAAACCGCCCTGGCTTGACCCCGTGCATTTTGAACTTACATTATCAAGGCTCTAGTGCTATGTTCATTGTTGGTATTGTTAATGTTATTGTTGTTGCTGTCATTATCATCATCGCGATCGGTGTTGTCGTCATTGTTATCATTATGTTGCTAATATCACAATTATTATCACTATCATATGACTATTGACTATTGTGTTTTATTATTATTGTTATTATCAGTAGTATTATTTTTGTTATTATCATTATTATTATTATTCTCAGTTATGATTGTTAAGCATAATCGTGTGGATCCAAACCAAAAACAAAACAACACCCGCCCCCCCCCCCCCCAGGCAAGCCCCGAGAAAGTGGATTCAAGAGATCAGGTGGTGGTTTGGAGTGGTTTGTCTTTGGAGGGCAAATGGGAAATCCGCCTTGACCCGCAACTTCCACTGGCGTTTCAGAATAGACCCAAATGGTAGATTGGTTCCCTCAAGACAACGGACAAGAGGGCACTCCCGTGTCGGAAGTTGGAATCGATCATTGGACATATTTTTATTTTGCTCCATCAAGTAAATGGAGGTTATATACGTGAATTCCAAAAACAATAAAGGAGCCTGGTTGAAAACACAGGATCTTGATCGCTGTGACAGCCCCGTTCCCATGAACCTCCCAAAACACCGGGTGTTCAAGTTTAAAGGGCACCCCCCAAGAATGGGTTGGTTTCCTGCTGGTTTCTGTTTACAACCATTTTAAAAGGGGGTATCCTTTTTTGTCATGACCGACTTCCATGATTCCATATTCTCGCAAATGGCTCGGCTTTAACGAATGCCGCCCGCAGTCTGAGTATTTGAGAACCGTGATCCTTTGTTGTCCCTTGTTGGTGTTGGCAATCTATCACCACCAGAAAACAACTTTTCTCGTTTTTTTCGAGGGGACGGAAACGCAAATGGAAGTTAGTCTTTATTTGGCTTTCCCAAAAGCAAGCTAGAACAGAGGGGTAGGTATGTGTTGTTTCCCAGACACCCTTTTCAGCACCAAGCTTGGACCGATCAAGGGGGCGAAAAAACTAAATGGAAGTGTAGGCCCCTTTTTACTTGCTGAGGCAATGAGTCGATAGCTTATGAGCCATTCCTTGTGGCTTCTCTTTGGCAAATGGAAGAGATTTCAGAGCTTTGAGGCCTGGCCCGGCCAGGCGCTCCCATCTCCAAGCGCCATGCGGGAGTGTCTGTGCTGGGCTGCGCCATTGCCATGGTGGCCGTGGGAGGCTGTGCGCAGGCAGGGGGTCGCGTTTTTTTTTTGTGGGCGGCAAGTAAGGCACCGGCAATGCAAAAAAGGAACATGGATCAGATAACCCAAAGTTGTTGGCTTGGATTGGTGGTTCGGATTCGGATTTGAACCACTTTTATAGAGGGTAAATCCTTAACTCCACAAAACCACCGGGTCCAAACCTCCAACTGACGGAAACTGATGACAGGACTCGCTTTGCGAGTTGAACAAGCTGTGTGATGTCTGATCATGGGCCAGTTTTTGATTAGAAGAAGCTGATTTGGAGTATCCTGCTGGAGTGAGGGGGTTTGTTCCAACGCACTCACGGCAGCCTCTTGGCTCTCTGCGAGAGGAGGGGCATCTCTTAAGCAATCATGAAGCACAGGTGTCCCCCCATTTTGCAACATGGGGGGGGGTGTTTAAGTTCCTGAAGGGGTTATATTGCAGCCTTGCCCCTCCAGCCCCCTTGCACGGAGTTTCAGAAGCGATAGATCCCTCAAATGTCCTTGGAGTTGTTCCTTCATGAAACTTCAAGCCTTTTGCATTCTTTTCCTTTCCTGTTGTTCCAGCATTGTTTTCAACGTTTGTCTTGGTTTTGTTTTGAGTTTGTGCAGAACATGTCTTCATTGCTTCCCGTGTCATGACCTTCCCACTTGGGCTCAGCGGCAGCTTTCTGACGGTAGGGCATCGGCCAGCTCTTTGCGGCGCTGGTGGTGGGCATGGCAAGGAACCCATCCATGAAGGAGGACCTCTTCACGTGAGCCAGGGGTTGGGTGGGAGGGTGAGACGGAGGGGAGAGGAGAGGGGGAGGATGGGTGGGAGGATAGGAGAGGATGGGGGAGGGTGGGGGGGGAGGGGGAAAGTGGGGAGACGAGGTTTGATCACACAAAGGCATGCTTGGTGGCGGGGCATCAAAACAGAATGCCAAAAGGCCACCATGTTCAAGTGATCCAGGATTTGAGAAGAACGCAGGTGGGCACCCTCTTCGGACCGATTCGAGTCTAGAGCATGGTTTGTGGCTGTATGTTTTCCATTTTCCCTGAGAACACCGAGAAGTTCGGAGCAGTCTGCAGCTACGCAAGATGCAAAACCAATGCAGTTGGCTTGACTGCTTGTTCATTTGAACATGTTTCCTCATGCAAGCAATTCTCGATGTGAGAGATCAACCATGTGAGGGTGGAAGTTGGGAAATTGAGAAATGCGGATGCCGAGGGGAGTGAAAGCCAGGCGACCCCAAACAGGAGGGAGGCATGTGTTGCGTTGAAGAGAGAAGTCCCAATCATCTAGTCGCGGGGGGGCGGGGGGTGGGTGGGGGTGGGGTGGGGGTGGGGTGGGGGGCCTTTGCATGCAATTCCTTTGGTTTACGACAGTAGACTCACGCTTGTTCTGCTTTCAATGCCTCCTTTGGTGGCTTGAAAAGGTCAGGCAAAAAAAACGAAAAGCCATTTGGTGGGTTTAAGGTGTGCTGAGCGATTGCCTGTCTGCCGGCCTGCCTTTCTGCTTGTCTGCTGGACCTATACCTTCCGTGGTTATACAAAAATCTAGCAATCTGGCGAGGGGGACAAATCGGTGGGGGTGGGGGCAAAGCTGAGGTATCATTGGTTTAACTCCATTCCGCAGAAGTGACGTGCCGAATTCGCGCTGGTAAGGTACACGCTGATCGGGATGGGTTTCTTGGAGTTCTTGGCCATTGTGGTCATCCTCATCGCAGGCATCGTCAGCGTGTTTGTGTGTGTGTGTGTGTGTGTGTGTGTGTGTGTGTGTGTGTGTGTGTGTGTGTGTGTGTGTGTGTGTGTGTGTGTGTGTGTCTGTGTGTGTGTGTCTGTGTGTGTCTGTGTGTGTGTGTCTGTGTGTGTCTGTGTGTGTCTGTGTGTGTGTGTGTGTGTGTGTCTGTGTGTCTGTGTGTGTGTGTGTGTGTGTGTGTGTCTGTGTGTCTGTGTGTGTGTGTGTGTGTGTGTGTGTTTGTGTTTGTGTTTGTGTTTGTGTTTGTGTTTGTGTGTGTGTGTGTCTGTGTGTGTCTGTGTGTGTCTGTGTGTGTGTGTGTGTGTCTGTGTGTGTCTGTGTGTGTGTCTGTGTCTCTGTGTCTCTGTGTCTCTGTGTCTCTGTGTGTCTCTGTGTCTGTGTCTGTGTGTCTTTGTGTCTGTGTGTCTGTGTCTGTGTGTGTGTCTGTGTGTGTGTGTCTGTGTCTGTGTGTCTGTGTCTGTGTGTGTGTCTGTGTGTGTGTGTCTGTGTGTGTCTGTGTGTGTCTGTGTGTGTCTGTGTGTGTCTGTGTGTGTCTGTGTGTGTTTGTGTGCGAGTGGGAGTGTCTGTGTGTGTGTCTGTGTGTGTGTCTGTGTGTGTTTGTGTGTGTCTGTGTGTGTGTGTGTCTGTGTGTGTCTGTGTCTGTGTGTGTCTGTGTGTGTCTGTGTGTGTTTGTGTGCGAGTGGGAGTGTCTGTGTGTGTCTGTGTGTGTCTGTGTGTGTCTGTGTGTGTGTGTGGGTGTGTGTGTGCGAGTGGGAGTGGATGTGGGTGTGGGTGTGGGCGTGAGTGTGCGTGTGCGATGGGCGTGTGCGTGCCACGTTAGAATGCCTTCGGGTAGGGTAGTTATGGACGGGACATCGACCCGAGTTTGAAGGCAACCCTTCTCGATCCTTTGCTTACTTAGGGTTGGAAGGGATGGTCTCATGAACCCCTGGAAGTGAATTTCGGCGATGACCACGCCTCCTAGTGATACTATGACTATGACCGGCACCAGGGCTTAGGACGCGGGATTCCACTTAGGATGATTCCTCTCTCCGAAGGTAACCGAGGCTTTCCGGCGGCGATTCGGCCTGTGGCCACTATATTCCAGTGTCGTGGAAACCTGGACACTTGGAGACTCTGTTGGAAGCACCTGACTGAAATAAGATGGTTGCAAAGTCAACCCGAAGCTTTGACCGGCGAGGGGTGCAAGCCAGAGAAAGAAACACCCCGGATCAAAATCAACCAGAGGTTCTGTCCGGGCGTCCACCGAGAATGAAATAGCCGCAGATCCAGTTACCCTTGCTTGTTCCTTGCTTCCGTTTCAAGTGGTCTTGGGTTTCGCTTCTAAACGAGGCAACCACATCCAAGAACACAACCCTGGTTTTCCCAACACTTGCTTTAGATCTAGCGTTCCACCAAAATGAGACACGCCACTGCGAGGCCTCTTGCTGTACTCTGAGTGAGCAAGAATCACGAGGCGGGAGCTTGAATGGTCTGTTCGAGCAGCATTAGATTTGCTTGGTGCGATAGGTAGAGCATGACCTTGTCCGGGTGTTGGAAATGAGCCGTTTGGGGATTGCCTTAAAGGAAACCACCAGTTGGATGGTTTATGGGGGGTCATTGCCTCATTCCCAGCTGAGCACCACCAAGTTTGTGCAGCTTGCCAAGGAAGTTGCCTCATTGCCGGGTTGTTGGTAGATTCTTTGCTGCGAGCTGTATCGCCTGTTTTGGGGCTAAGAATGGATCGACATCGTTTGGCCTCTTTGGCCTGGAACCCACCGCTTTCCCATGTTTCTGCTGCACTGTCGAGTCATCACCTTCCCTTGACCGACAGACTTGGCAAAGTTGCTGGTGTTTGCCTTGTTTGTTGTTTCTTCTTTTTCTTGGCCGATTTTATCATTGACCAGCACCACTTCCACAGAGCAATCACAAGCCTCACCTGGTCGCAAGTCGAATCTCAGCTGGGTGAGCGTCGCTGAGCCCAGAAGATACTGTGACTGGACAAGCTGTTTTGTTTTGCTAAAATTCATAGTCATCACGTGCGACAGAATTGGGCCGACGCCTGGGCAAATAGGGTCCGCGAAAGCGATGAACCCCCGTCTCAAAATGGGACACGGTGCTTGTTGGTTAGGTAACCAGGGCTTTATTAATAGGCGTGCATGTGTACAGACCAGCTCCAGAGAGGACACATGAACATCTTTTCGGATGGCCTGTTTCACACGTTCCCAACAGCAGCCCACATCTCGGAGCATTTCTTTTTTCAGTTAGCACGGGCTGTGTTCCACAGCATTTGAGGTTTTGAGCCCAAATTGCAACCAAGCCATACAGGTGGTCAGTCTAATGTTTCTTGGCCTTTGTTCAAAGGACTGTACCCACTCACTGGAACATCTTCAAAGCTTTGTGGGTGTAGGGGCTTCAACCATGCAGGTATTTTGAGACTTTCAGATCAGTTTGCAGTTTGCACAACCGTATATTGGTACTGGTTCCAATCATCTACCACCATTTAGCTTTGTCTCAAAAACCATCAGAAACCGGATTGCTCCCAAATGAGCAGCAATGAGCACTTTTGCCGTTCTACTCTGAGAGTGCTGACAGCCCACATGTTCATGAGGAACATGGATTGCACGAAGGCCAACTGTGTGCAAAGCTGAGAAGGGGGGGGTGTTTGATTGTTTTGTTTTGGACAGCACCAAGGAAGGCTTCTCTCTCAAACAGACAGCTCGAAATGAGGCTCTCGGGACCACAGCGGCGTGGGCCCGCTGAGAGAGCGGCATAGCTTGGAATCCAATTTTTACTTCGGGGCGTAGCTTAATAGTCACAGAACAGATGGGTCTGATTGGTGTTCACAACTGATTTGAAACCACAGCCAGTGCTCGATTTATTGTTTTGCGAGATTGGGTACTTTTCCCTGGGGCATGCTTCATATTATGGCCACTTGGGAGTTTGGAGATGAAAGCGGAGCGGCAGATCGCTGAGCACCCAGATGCCAGATTCAGCAGATCGGCTTGCAGTGAGCTGCGCAATGAGCAATCCCTGCTGCCCAGTGGTGCCCCTTGTGTTGTCTTTAGTAACAACACCAGGGGTATGTTTTTGTTTCCATGGGAAACCGGCTGGCAAGGAGGAATTGGTCGGGCAAGCTTCGCGCTATGAGTTTTGTAGATGCAGCTGGCAAACGACGCTAAGTGGTGCGTGGATAAGGGGGCCTACCCGAACTCGGAGGGTGCTGGGCAGGTGATGTGCTGTGCTGTATGCCTTTTGCATGACACCATTTGCTGTTTTTTTGTGATAGGCATTAATGCCATGTGATGCGTTGTGATATGATGCGATGTGATGTGATATGACTCAATGGGAGGGGAAGATATGCTATGATAAGTTGTGACATATGATGGATATATATAGCCTATGACCTATGATGTACGACAAATGAGATATGAGACTTGATAAACGGCGTACTGTAATAGTACTGTATGAAATATGTGATATGCTATACAACGTATGAGATTTTATTTGTGATACATGACATATCATAGATGATGTTTGATACGTGGCCTAAGATATATGATGCGTGGTATATGATAGTAGTTTTTCAAGATTTGTTGCCTTGGCGTTTGAGTTTTCTCCGGGGTTTCTTCCTGAAAACTGAAGAGGGTCTTCCCTGTGGCTTGCGAAATGGTGAAGCCCAGGACCAAAGGCGGCAGATGACGTGGGTCCCAGTCAGTTTTCGCCCATCATGTCACCGCAGCAAGAAAATCGGACGCCGCCCAGTGTGGCTCCAGCTCCCACGTTTGACTGAGATTGATCCAGTGCTTCAAGGCTTCAGACAGGGGAAGCGGGTGAGCCTTGGACAACGCCAGGCTTAACCAGCCGCTTTGTGTTCGCCTTGGCGTTTGTGGCTTTGCGAGGGACTTGGCAACGCAGTGTGGCCATGGCCGGTTGCATGTTGAGTTCGACAATTTACTTGCCAAGGTTTACTTGTTGACCCCCATTTTGATTCTTGGCCCCTGTATTTTGTCAGAAGAGTTAAGTTTAAAGCCCGACTCACACGTCACTTGCCTGTTGCGAGTATGTGCGCTGACAAATTGAGCTGGTTGTCATTGAAGGTCTTTTTGTTGAGCGAACGAAGCCCAAACTTGCGCCGATTCGACATCACCCCGCATCTGTTTGCTTTCGATCTGTCATGGCTATTTGATTGGATCTTTGGACTTCAACTTGTTGGTTGAAACAATGGATTTTCCATTGGACCCACACACAGTTTTCAACTTTTGGCAGAGGGGTCGTTGCGGCAACCAAGCGTGTGTGTGCGTATGTGCGTATGTGCGTGTGTGCGTGTGTGGGTGTGTGTGTGTGTGTGCTGTTCACCTTGCCGGAAGATGGCACCAAGCCTTCCCCGTACCAGTCCTCTGGTTGCGCCCCTGCCAGGCCAAGTCAGCCAAATCAGCAGTCCGCCAGCCTAACCAGACCCACAAACCCAAGCCAGCCCTCCAACGTCTTCTTTGAGGGTACCCCCTTTTTGGTTTTGTACGAGAAAGCCAAAAGGAACACCATTTTGGCAGGTCCCCAAAAAGCATTGACACCCATATTTTGCGTTTTTCAGGCAGCGATGTTGGGCTTTGACCCCTCCTTTCCTGACCCCTCCCGCTTTAAATTATGACATTTTGCAGCCACACACTGAGGTGTCTTGAGATACCTTTACTTTTTCCAAGACATATTCGATTTGGTTTTCCTCAAACCTATCCACACATCGTCCCAAAATCATATTCGAGTCGGCCAAGCGCCCAAGCACACTGCGCCAGCGCAGGCCATGGCTCTCCTGCGACAGGCGGTGCGCTCTGTGTCTCAGGCGGGCAACCGGGTGTGGAGGTCTTAGACTTGGTATTGCCAACCCTGTTTCACTGGAATTGGACTCAACGGCTTTACTACTGGACAGTATTGTGGGGGAGTTTCCTGAAACAATCGACGGTGCCTGAACTTTCACCCCTTTGATGTTTGCGCGTTTGCCCAGTGCTTTTGGAGAGGTTTGTGTCAAGAAGTCTGACGGTTGGGGGGGGGCAAAGTGAAGTTCGAGGTCTAGGCTTAGGGCTTAGCTTTGGAATGCCGGCGGAGGAGAGCCACGGAGAAGCAGGTGCATAAGATTCGCTAGGTTTGGATATTGTTGCTTTTCCAGCGTGTTTTTGGATGCCAGCAGGTTTCAGGGATCCCAGGAGGGTGCTGCAGGCTGCTTTTGGGGATACCATGGCAAGGGTCCCTGAAAGTGCTTCTGGTCTGCTTTTGGAGGAATAGCGCCCAAGCCTCTTTTTTCCGGAGGGCGGTGTTGGCATCCCGGGATCCTACAAGGAACCCTGAGCCACTTCTCTTAGAGGGCACCTTCTTTGGGAGGGAGCCCAAGTTATTTTCGGCGGTTTCAAAGGGAATCTATCACTACTGGACATATGTTTTTTCTTTCCAGGGGGCTTGAGAAAATGGAAGAATGGGAAAAACAACCATTCGGCCGTGGATGTGTGCGGATCGAGACATTTCCTTGCCCCGATATGACTCGATTTGTTCGGCCTATATGAAAGAGACCTGGCCCCCTGCAGTGGATCTTCCCCTTGCACTGATGGCAGGAAAACTTCTGCCCGGCATCCCCATGGTGTGAGTGAAGAGTACAATTGGCCTCTCAAAATGGAACCAAGTCTTCCACTCTGGGTTCTGGGAGCTTTCATGGAACTGGGGGGGAAGTTCTCACTCCCTGAGTTACAGGACTTTAACAACTTGTTCGGAAGACCATTTTGGTAAATCAATTGGTCCAGGACTTTTTGGGCAGTCTGCGTCATGCAATCCCCACAGCTTGCCGCACAGCGGCAGGTCTCTGCTTTGCGCGCGGCTGCGCCAGGCGCTTTTGGGCGAGTCGACCAGTGGGTTTGAGAATTCAACGCTTGGTTTTTGCCCTTGACTGTTTATGGTTGGTTCAAATCCCATTTCTAGTTGCCCAAGTTTGTTCAGGATCCGGCTTTCACCAATTTCTTGGGTTGGTTGGTTTAAGTCTAGTCCAGACTTAGAAACGCTTCTGCTTGCATTTCCAGCTTTTCTTTTTGGAGATTCCTTGGAAAAGGTGTGTTTCTGGCTCCACGCTCATGCTCCCCATTCTTTCCAGGGACCCTTCTTTTCAGGAAACCATCAAAAACCCAGGGGAAACAGCCGGTTCTTGAAAAGAACGATGGTTGAACAAAATGGGGAATCACCCCCTAGATTAACACAGATCTTTCACCCGCTTTTGCGCGCGAAAGCGGCACGCTTTTGCCAGGTGCCGCCGCCTTGTGCCGTGTGGCAGCCCCGCTGGATGGCAAGGCCAAGTGGACCGTTCTGGTGTCGGAGGCTAAATCGGAACACCCCTGTTAGCTCATTTTGATTGCCTTCGCTTAAGGTGTGGCACTGGTGCTTTTTGCTCTGTAAACCCTCGCTTTTCCAATGCCATCAGAGGGCA